GCGAGCGGTGCGAGCCAATCCGATGCATCGGCTGTGACTCGCGACACGACCAGGACGGGCTTGTCTGTCTTGGCTAGACCGGGACATTGGCCCCGGGCTTCTGGGAGTTGCTTTGCGGTCGTCTCATAGGTGATGGTGGTCCAGGCGAAGGGCCGACCGGGAGGGGATGGCCGGTTGAGGAAGAGGATGAGCCCGAGGATTCCGGCGAAGATGGCCAGATGGAAGAGACTGCGACGGGTCCGGCGCCTCATGATGAGGTGCTGCTATAGGTGACAGGCAGCAGATCGAATGGAATTAAATTATCGCCAGTTATCTCCAATTCTAATGCGTTGGGATCGTGGCTGCTGGTCCTGACTAAGCGGCAGAACGAACCACTCGGAATCTCGCGGATGATCGGCATTAGTATTGCTTGTCTGTACAAGAGGATATGGGGGTAAATCCAGAACATATCAATTAATCCATATGATGGCCTTAAGGCAGCCGGATTTGTGCCAAGATTTCTATACTTCTATTTTTTGAAGATAGATACAGTGTCTGACAAGATGCCCGCCACTCCGTCGCATGATGTACGGCTCTCCGCATCATCTGAATATCCGCTCAACACATACAGACAGCGTTCTTTCGACCACATAGATGTTTCTCTTTTAGCTGGGGCTCTGTGGTCTGTGCTGATGGGGTGTCCGAAGATGCTCTTCAGAATCAGCAGACCTCAAATGGTTAAAGAATGGTGCAAGATTGGAGTACACTATATCAATCATCTCGCACGAAGAGGACTTACTGATTATTCTGGGATACCACCGGCACAGCTGCACCGTACACAGCATTAGTAATGTAGGGTTGTAGATGGAGTGCAGTGATTTGACTTTGTCAGTTATGGAGCTGTACCACTCCGGGTATTTAAGCAGCAGCACTGATAGATTCGAGCTGCATGGGAGTATATTCTGGAAGAAGAAACAGTCGACGCCTGCATGTATTTGAGGTAACGTGCCCATCGAAAATGGTCTTACAAGTATGAGATGCTCACTGGAATCGACTGATGTATTACTACCGTGTGAGCATGCCGGCTCTATAGTACAGGTATCCTCTATTCGCGACTGGATCACCAATCTCACCACAAAGGTCGAAACAACAACACCAACAACTCAAATACAGTCACCAAACCTCACGTCAAAACAAGCTACTCCATCACATGCAACAAGCAAAGATTGAAAATCCCTGCCACGCGGCCACCTGCCACCTGCTGAAGATAAGCCCCTCTGAGGCATACGCGGCCCTGCAGGTGATGTGACCCGTCCATCTAATCTAACTGCATCAACCGCTGCAGGTCCCGTATCTTTCTTTCAGTTCTGACTGCAGCACAAGGTTAGAGTTCTTTGTGTGTGTGGCCTGCATTCGGGGTGGCTTCGGCTCGGTCCTTTCTTGTGAAACCTTGATGGCAGCCACTCGGCGGGATCCCGGATTGTGGACCGGACTGGGCGTGCTTGGCGATGAGCTTATAGGATGGGTGATTTTGATTACGACTGGACAGATATTTTGAGATGAGGGGTAGTGAGGAGGAATAGATACTAGGTAGTAAGGGCTGGGTGTGGAGGTATATGGTTAGTTCACGGTAGTTTATGTAAATATGTGGTGATGAACGGGTAGGGATGGACACCGAAGAACGAGGTACTAGGTAAGTAGTAGGACAATGAATACGCAAGATCACATTTGGATGATCTGGGGCTCATTAGAGACATGAAAAGAGAATGTTACTACAAAATGCTACAACTTTGCTAAAGCTCATACCGGTGCTGACCACATGCATCAATGATGATACATCTCAACCATAACAGATATTTCCCAAGACAACAAAAATAAACATACCAAATTACGTAGATTATGTACGGAGCTCAATAAATCCAAACCAATAAACAAGAATTAACCAAACCAAACCAAACCAGACTAAACAACCAAACCCACAATGCACCGTTCCATCCTCCATTTTCTATCAATCCAACATCCCCTCCAAACTCCCACCCCTCAACGAATGCCACAAATCCTGACACGCATCCTGCAACGACTTCTCCGCCTCCCACCCCAACTCACAAGCCGCCCTCTTCGGCACCGCCACGCACTCTTGCACATCACCCGGCCTCCTATCGGCCAGCCGTTTCGGGATATCCTGATGACTGACGCCCTCCATAGCGGCGACCACCTCAGCAACGGAATGCCCTCGCCCAGTCCCGAGATTAAACGTGCGAAAGTTCGTCTTTACCTTCCCTTCCAGCGCAGCCGCCAGGGCTGCGGTATGTCCGTGCGCCACGTCCGACACGTGGATGAAGTCGCGGATAGCAGTGCCGTCGGGAGTCGCCCAGTCTGTACCGTAGACAGATAGAGCTTGCAGCTGGGCCGTCAGGACTTGCACGACTACGGGGACGAGGTTCGATGGTGTCCCGCGGGGATCTTCACCGAGGAGACCAGACGGGTCGCAGCCAATGGGGTTGAAGTATCGGAGACCTATGATAGTCCAGGATGGATCGGAGGCTGCTACATCGGAGAGAATGGCTTCGCCCATCCACTTGGTGCGGCCGTAGGGGTTTGTGATTCCTGTACAGCCTTGCTCGGATGTTATGGGCTCGCTAGAGGAGTCGTTGTGGTAGGTTTCTGGTTGGTGCACGCAGTGCTCCTCACGCAGGGTGCCGTGGTTCTGGGCTAATGTGCCGTAGACGTTGGCTGAGGAGGAGAAGATGAAGGTCTTGATGTCGTGGTCTGCGAGTAGGCTGACTAGGTCTACTAAGCCCGTGACGTTGTTGTGGTAGTACTTGAGGGGATTGCGTAGACTGTCGTTGACGTCCTTGAAGGCAGCGAAGTGGATCACTCCGGTGATTCTGGATCGGGACGGAGTGCTGTTATTGTTGATATCTGGTGATGGCTCCACTGTGTACGAGGCCAGTAGAGCGCGCATGGCGGGCATATCGCGAAAGTCGATGCATCTCAGCTCGGCTCGCGGACAGTGGCCGCCTGTTCGGGTGAAGTGTTGCTTGGCTGCTAGCAGGATTCGGTCGAAGACGTGGTCGAAGCTATTGCTCAGGTCATCCACGATGATCACGTTGTAGCCCGCCTTGAGCAGCTCCAGGGAGGTGTGGCTGCCGATGTACCCCAGTCCGCCGGTGACGAGTACATATGGGGCGTCATCTTCTAGGCGCAGTGAAGGTTCGTCAAAGTATTCGTCCCGCTCGGTTTCGGGTGTCGCAGGTGCGGAGAACAAGGGCGTGGGCACCGGCGAGCTTCCTTCTGAGGTACAGATAACAGACATGGCGCAGCTGATGGAGAAATTACAAAGGAATGGATAACAATGATAGCAATGGCAGCAGCAGCAGCCGTGACGAAGGGGATCAGACCACGATGATGACGAGGCCAATATAATCCACGAACTCTCTTCGCGAGTTTTGGCAAGTCTAGATTCTCACCAGGCCAGTATAGTTCGCGAACTTAAGCACTACAGAAAAGCTACTCTGGCTGGGCGAAACCCGGACTGGAAGTACTTGAGATCGTGGGACTTGCCCTCCACTTGCTTTCTCCTCCCTTCCCCCCCTTTCCCGTGTTCAGGGCTCATCGCTCCAGCTACGCTATGCCCGCATCGGTTGACAGGAGCCCGATGATTTCATCATCTCCATTGAGTCAGTGTCCTTGGCCCGGTCTGCCTACCACATAAGACCGGCGCCTGCCGTCCTAGTGAGGGACGAACGCAGCGTGGTTCATGTTCGTCCGACGAGCAGGCGGCGACAAGCGACAAAGTGTGTCTAGGACATGACGAGCCGGGATCTGCCTTGTGTTCTTATTTTGGGAGATAATTGGCGATCGTAATTGACATCGAATCAATTAGGCCACGCGAGCCAGCCAGACTAAAAAGGCATTGGCGGTTCGAGGTTCGACCGCGGACTTGCTAGTTCTACATCTACTGGAGGGTGAAGGAAGAGACTAAGGGGAAAAAAAGGAAGGCATTGGGGCAGAAATAAAAAGGGAAGAGATGACGGCAGTTCCGGGTCTGCAGTAGCTTATCTAGTGGTGCTTTAGGATGCATTAGACCCAGGTTGGCCATCTCTGGCTTTACCGGATCTGCTCCTTGGCATGACGGCGGCAGTTCTGACAATTAATTTATTTTCTGAGCTAGCTGGAAGCCTGGCCAGGTCGGTTTGTCTGTCTGACAGGTTGGACTGACCTGCTTTGCCTTGATGTCAAGCAGACTTGTCTGCTATGAGGTCTGGCGTGATTCCAAGGCGTGTAAATGTGATTCATGGCAGAAATTGTTGCTGCGAGGAGAGAGACACTGAATCATGCAGGTCTCGGTCGGAATAAGCCCTAGTTTCAACCGTGCAGGGCCAGCGCATCTTCTTTTCTCCTATCTTCTTGTCTTCCTGCCTTTCTTGCCTCCCCGTATCGACGGCCGGTGAGGTGTCCTCCGTACCTGAAGCTGCACCTCCGGCGTCAGGCAATGGGGACCTGCAGATACGAAGGCGAAGAGAAAACGGTGAGATTGTGATTTGTAAGAAACAACCTTTTCGTTTCTTTCCTTTTTATCTGCCTCCCAGTCACTGCAGGCTACCTGTCTAGCTAAGCAACAACGTATTGTACTCGCAGAAAGTGGCTTTCCAGAAATGTCCGAATTCCCGAACATCCCGATCAGCGCCAAGAACGGGGCGAGGAAAGGAAAGGGAAAGAAATCCGCGATGACTATCCGGAGTACTGCATCTCCGTGAAAACTGATGAGACACAGAGAAGTAAAAGAAAAAAGAAAAAGAAGAGAGGGGCGCCCTTGCGTGCGACCCATCGAAATTGACACGTTCGACGAGTCAGAGAACAGACAGCAAAAGTTGATTAGGGTTTCCGGACTCCACCGGTCCATGGTTCTCCTTGTTTTAAGATGATGGAGACACACAAGAAAGAAAGGGATTGGGATCCAGTTTTTTACTAAGCGGATACTCTCTTTACTGTAGTTAACTAACTAACTGTCTACCTATTTACTGTGCCTGTTCCGACAAAGACTCCATCAACATGCCCCAGCTGGAGGGACCAAAGCGCTCGTAGAAATCGCCTACGATTTCCGTGACAAATATGTAGGCGGCACGACGACGCAGATCGCGCACCAGAGAGGGCAAATGATGGTTCGGGACTTCCGTGACCATGTAGCCGCAGCGATCGCGAGGATAGGGAAGCTCGCCTAGACGATGTTGCACCTCATTGGTTTGCCAGCGTGCAAATGGCTCCTCACAGACCAGCAGGAGATCTGAGCCTGCATCGGCCATCTCGGGATCTGGGGGGGTGCCTGGGTTGTGAACCACCTGCAGACATCGTCATGGTTATTATCATTATTATTAAAATAGACTGAATCAACCACGTTGTTCCATGTTTTCTCATTTGTCGGGTTTCAAATGAGACAGCAGAACAGCTGTCAGATTTTTCTTTTGTTTTTCATACCCTCCACCAAGGTAGAGAAAGAGGAGAAAGAGAGAGAGGGGCAGTGGCTGAACCAAGGAAAACTCATAACAACAACAACAATAATAATAATAATGATAACACTCATAATAAGAAAGAACAACATCATGCTTACCAATCGATCGCGGAGAAGCCCCGAGCAATTCTTGATGTGACGATGAAGCGCGCGCAAATACTCGGCCTGAGCGGCGTTGAAGTGGTTGGGAGTCTCATCGACCATGATGCCACCCACGCCTAAACCCGTCGTGGCATACTCGGCGGCCCAGCTGGCATATCGATCGATCTCCTCACAGGCAGCGGCCAATGGCTTTCGGCAATAGTCGATGCGGATATAGCCGACCGGATAGACATTAGGGCAGGCATTCAGGCGGGCCACTTCGCGCGCATAGTTGGCATCGGGGCACGGCAAGGCACCCGGTCCACTGTTGGGGTTGACGATCACCAGGAACTCGAGCTCGGGATAGGCAGCAATTCTACACAGTACACACCACTCTCCATCAGTCACTTTGCGAGGGGAAGAAAATAGAATGTAGGCGATACACCAGAGAGATAGAGAATAGAAAAAAAAAGCAAGCAAGCAAACAAGAAAGAAGGTAGGTAAGTAAACTTTACGCGTCATAAAGTGGATCCCAGGTGGTCGGCGTTAAGGGATAGATATACAAGGGCACGAGCACGCCCGATTTGGGAAGCGTCGTGGTGGTGGTAGTGGTGGTGGTGGCCATCGGATCAAGGCTGGATAGGGAATAGAGGTGGACGGAGGTGGGAAGTTGACACTGGAAGAGGGGAATTGGGGCAGGCAAATCTGGGAAGACAATAACAAGAACAAGAGAGAATGGGGACTAGCGGTGGCCAGGTTTCGTCTTCAGCAATCAACTACCAGTCTTATACGAGATACCAGGGCATAAATTCATTTACATGAAGTCGCTAGCCAAGAGAACGACGTGGACACCGCAGCCCAAGGCAGACACTGTGAATGGGTGAATAGCATTCGGGTGATATAGTCGAGATAGCCTCTTAGCTCTTGTTCTGTCTGTGCCTGCCCTGAAAGCCGAAAAACCAAGGAATAAGCAAAGAAGAAAAAGTACCACAACGCCATTCCCGCGCTAAACCATCCAATCACATCCTCCGATCGGAGAACCTGACCTGGCCAACTCACAACGTATCTTGGTCCAAGTGGAGTTTCCACTTTTAGCGCCAGATACTAGTCGAAGGAAAAAAAAAAAAACCTAGAGTTGTTCGAACTTCCATCGAAAGCGACCGTCCCAGGGTTATCGAATTTTGGTGCGGCGGGAGCCACAGACGGGATTAACCCACCACTCATCGGTCAGGTCGGCATCATGTCGCAGATGGTCTCACCCTCCGGATCGAAACTCTCGTAGTAGTCTTCCGTCAACGTCGTCAGGAACAGGTACTCGGCCTTTCGGCTCATCTGGTTGACAAAACTGCGCAACGTGCCATTGCTGAGACTGTCAGGTACCGAGTGCAGCATATAGGCATATGCCGTGCGATTCGATGCCATGGCATTCAGACTGTGCTTTTCCGTGTGAAAATCCTGATAGGAACTCTCAAACACCACTGTGACGTCCGTCGCGTTGTTCTCGTAGCGACTATCCGGAATGGTACCGGGATTGTGGATCACCTAAAGGGCAGATCCGCCAGGAAAAAAGTTAGCCTCTCGGATCGTCATAGCAAGAGAATTTTCTGCTCTCTTGCTACACCCGAACCGCGGTCTCGCTTACCATGCGATCTCGGCGCAATCCCGACGAACTCTTGACGGCCTCGCTGATCGTCTGCATGTACTCAGCCTTTGCTGCCGAGTAGTCATAGGGGGCTTCGTCAAAGAAAATCCCGTCCATTGCTAGTGTCAGCGATCGATTCGCCCACCCGGCATAAGTGGCGACATCATCCAGCACAGCGGTGATGTTGCGCGTGGCATAAGCTGTGCGCACATATCCAACCTTGCGTACATTGGAATATGTGCTAAGCCGTTCCACCGAGGAGGTATACTCCTCCGAGGGATACGCACTGGAGCCGGGCCCGCTCGAGGGGTTGATGATGACCGTGAAGTTCAGGTCCGGGTGCGTCGTGACCCTGGGACTGTCAGTCACCGTGCGCAATGCAATCGGGGGTATGTATGTTTCAGGTTCAACATACGATTCATATAAAGGGTCCCATGTACTGTCATTGGTGGGGTAGATGTATAGTGGGAATAGAACATTCGTCTTCTCACCACCATGTTTGCGAGTTAATAGGACTGCGCAGGGAACAACAATGACAATAATGATCACCACGGCAATGGCGATGGAGATAGCGATGCACCAAGGCCGCCGGGGGCGCGTGAGATTAGGGCGAGGCATCCATGCGGCAGCCAGTCCGAGCTGGCGAGGGTTAGTTGAGAAGATGGAGTATAGTCTAGCTAAAGACGCAAGCTGAGTTCCGGCCTCTGCCCGACCTAGATAGACGGCGCGCAGGAAATGATATAAACCTGAGGGGGAGTCCGGCCAAGAGCAAAGTCCCGGACTCGCCGGACTCACACGTAGGAACTAGATCGCTGTGATTCGCTCGCCATGTGGCGCGATAACAACCAAGGATGGAGTGCTATTGGGATCTAATGGCAATCGAGGCTGTTGACAAGACCGTGCTTTTGAGGTACATAGAGCGTGGCGAGGAGAGCAAAGGCAGCCAGAGCCCCGTATTCGAGTCAGACATGCATAGACCCCCCCACGTTAGCGCCGCTTTTGTGCCCACCAGTCCACTGGGAAGTCCCTGTCGGTTCGAGGGCCCAAAAGAAGAAATGCAGTCAGAGCAGAGAAAAAAAAGAACGTAACGGGAAAGGGAAACTCCCGCTATGCTTGGTGCTGGCTGCTAAACTAAAGCCTGCTCTGCTGGCTGGCGCTAGACCCTCTAATCACATTTGATTTTTTCTTTTGGCCTTTTTCTTTGGGTCAGCGGTAGGTTCCAGAGATACATGCATCTGCTATAAATAGTTATATTAAAGGAAGAGATGGCGCCTCCCTTGGCGGCTTGAAAGGGAGCTTGACTTGGGTGGTCAGCGATTCTTATCGCCCTAGATAATAATAATCACTTAGGTACCCCGTCCACAGTCGGGTCAAGCAGCAGTGTTGAGTGTTCGACAAGCTGCCTGCCACCATGGGACTGGAATACCTGGGTCTGGATGCCGTGGGATGGCATCGAATGACCACAACATGGTGGGATAAGGTACGTATGAATTCTCTCCTGGGAAAACAAAAACAACTCCCTTGTCTCCCGTCCTTCCTCTGACAATCACAACGTTTAGGTGATAGCAGCATGTTTATTAACGACTATTGTTCTTGGTGCTGTATTCATTTTGAGCTTTATAGCCCGGAAGATCTACAGAGTCTGGCAGGTATGTCGTGCTGTCGTCCATTTCGTTTATCGCCGTGAGGAATGCGCTGACGATTGGCTTTTGCGGTGGGAGTTTAGAGGCGGCATCAACTCTCCGTGGTCCCAACGGCCATTGCCCGTTATTTGGACCAACTCAAAACAAACAATGCCCCCCTTGCGTCGGAGAAACCGCCCGCGAAGGAGCTTAAATCGTTTGGTGTTTTTCTCGGCGGGTTTTCTAATCCTCCGACACCTGCCGAAGCCCATTTGCTTTCGCAATGGGATATTCTCGTCGTAGATCCCCTTCAACCCGGGGTTTTGGACGCGCTTACGGGTCACTGCACGTCATCGCACATTCTTGCACGCCTTGACGTCCGGAGTCTAGTGCGCTCTGATGCCTGTCGCAACAATGATGAAGCCCTCCAAGCTCTGGAAACGGTCGTCCAGACGCTATCTAGTACCCTCAAGCGCGGCCAGAGCAGCACATCGCCCTTTCACGGGGTACTCTTGGCCGACTGCCACACGCATTTCCAACCAGTGATCTTGAATGAATTGGTCAAGTACATGAACCACCTTGGGCTAGCTGTATGGCTGGAATTGGCGCCACCAGCCTACCTCAGTGAGGAGCAAGGCCGGGCCATTAACATGCAGCAAATTCGTGGCGTGGTGTATAGAAATGGTACAATCTTGCAAAATGGAGATAGGCGCAATTATTTCCAAATGGCCAAGATGCGTACCGCCATGCGGGCCGTGGCATCCCAGAAAGCTGTTGGCGACTCGGCTATTGCTATGTGGGATACGATTGACGACAACGTCGAACTCACGCATCATGTTCTCGGACGCAGCTTCAAGTGGTGCAACTACAACAGTGCTTTGTGTTGGATCGCACCCCAATCTGCGCTAACGAATGCGGATATTGCCGTCACAAGAACGGTGACACAGGAGCCCCTGGGGGCTATGATGTGGCTGAAGCGCGGCGAAGTTTTGGAAGCGCACGATATTTGGAGGCTGAATGACAAGGTAAGAGCCCTTACGTGAGCTCGTGGTAAGTGAGCCCGAAATGGAAGCTGACCATCCACAGATTCGCCAAACGCCGTGTGGATATGACGAAATGTACGAATCGCTGGAGTCCTTTGTTCCCGACCTGAAGGCAAAGCTTGCGCTGTCACCCCCGGTAAATTCTCGACGGTCCGACAGTGCAGGCACTGTGATCGAGGGACTCGAATGGTCTGGAAGAACCGAAAGTTCACAAACAGATATCCTGTCCGTCTCCCCTGCTGGAGCAAGCTATACCGGACTCGCATGCTTTCAGATTGGCCTGGATTGCACATCCAAAGATGTCACGGACCTCGTCGAAGGCCAAAGACAAGTTAGAGACCTCGATTTGCTTCAACGCCTCAATGCAGAAGAGATTCGCCAAGTAACCGAGCCATTGCGCTCCTTGCTGAAGGCCCAGAACTCACACACCTATCTTTCGTCGGAACTGCAGTCAATCAAGGACTTGGTTGACCTCCTCTCGGTTTGCAGAGGTGACGACAATGACCGTCTTCGAATTTACGTCGGCTTGCATTCGGGCTTCCGCACTCGTCTTGGAAGTCAGATTTGGGGTCTGCACGATCTCGATTCCAGCATGGGCGTACTAAACATCTATCTGTCGGGAAAGGCAAAAGATCGCACCGGAACCATTCTCCACACGTACCTGGCCAACAGAGGGTTCAGCCGCTCTCGCTGCTTCTTGGCAGAGACGGCCTTGGCCGCAGAGAACCAGACGTTATCGGAAACGTGGGGATTGCCTAAGCGCATGGTGGATGATATCGAACAGCTTACCCCGGCAGAAACTTTGGCTTGGCTGCGACGACTGGCCTTGTCGAGCCATGAGGATCCCATGAAAATGTCTGCCAAACTACGTGCCTGTGGTGAATATCAACTTCTGGAAGCCCCAACTCTCGCACAACTCCGTGCTCAGTGCTCAAGTGAGTATCTAGATGGAGAGATCTCGGCAGCGGACCTGGTCTCCTCACGCCTCGCGTGGCTCAGGGAACAGGGCTGTTGGTGTCCTGATGCCTCGGCTGCCGAAGCGCTGTTTCTCGAGATTGATGCTCGGTTGCCAGATCTTCTTATGAGCGGAGAGGCAGAGGTTCTCGACAAATTAGCCACAGTATTCGAGTCCATTCTTCAGAAGGGCACTATCGACGCGGGTGCCGATATTCTAGCTCTGAGCGTGTTTTGTGCCTTCCGTCGGCTGGCTCTGAACGAGATCTACCTAGAAGTCCTTGACCGCAACCCCCTACCGAACCTCGAGCCCGTGCAAGCAGCGTGTTTTGCGGAGATGTATGCCTGTGGTGCTCGCACGGATATGTACTTTGATATGACACCGAAACGCATGGGTAAAATCATCTGGCGTTGGTACCGCGCATATTATCACGAGCACCAGCCACCTCAACGAGAGGAGATTTTCACCGAGCTGCCCACGGCGTATGCCTCCATGAATGTGGATCTGGATCCAGAAGGAGAAAAGGACACTGCATCGTGGCACTACCGACTCACATTTCTGGGAATCTTTGCTGTCCCTGCACTCATTGATGTCACCTTGTTGACAACAATCGGTCGAGGCCTTTATTTGACTACATATATGAGTGATATCGACAAGACACTCGCCACTACTGCGTTGATGATCGCCCTTCTCGTCTGTGGTGGGTTTGGTAGCTGGATCAGTTCCGGTGGAAGCTACTACTTGTACGCGATGGCGTTCCCAGCTATGAGCATGTTCATCCTGACCCGCTTCATTGCCGGGTTGGCAGTGGCCTTCGTCGGTGGCATCATCGCGCTGATCGTTGTAGGTGTGGTCAAAGGATTCGCAGCAGGCATTCTGTTTTTCCTTTACTTTCTTATGCTGTCCACGTACCTTATGACTCTGTCAGCCCTGTCGGTCTATCAGATGCCAGGATATCAATTCCAATCGGTGAGTTGATCATCTCCCTAACCCTCTGCCTCAGTTCCCAGTTCTTCATTGTTTGTGCAGGCTAACTAACCATGATCCAGGGACGCACGACGGTCATGTGTTGCATTCCGATCCTCTTCATTTCACCGATCGTCACATTGTGGGTACATCGCGACTCGGTCATTTACCTGTGCATCCTGGGACTGTTCCTTGCTTGCCTCCTTCTGGGGGCGCGGCGGGTCATGGCTCGGTGGAACAGCTGGTATCTGAATATTCCTTGCGTTACGGATACGGAAATTGTCAGTTGGTACACACAATCCGCATCGAACCACGGATCTTCCGAGAAGTTGAAAGACGTTGGTGCAGACGCTCGCCGGGCCCTCCTGGCTAGCGTCCAGAAGGAGAACAAGAAATGGTTCTGGAGCAAAAAGACAACAGACCCGTTCATCGCCAAAATGGCCGAAGGCTATTCTTCCACAACCTTCCTGTTAGGATGGTACTGCCGCTACTCGAGAACCAAGATGCCTTTGGCGTACAGCCCAACATGGAACTTGCAACTCAAAGCGGCGGTTGATACCATGTCTGAAATGCAAAAAGGTCTGAAGATGCACAACGCATTTCTTCACTGGCGCCACACCGGGTCTGATGTCTGGTGTGGAATCTTGTACTTTGTTGTCGCTCTGTCCGATAAGTGGTCTGCATTGCTAACAGGTGAATCGATCGTTGGTTTGTCTGCAGCTAACAGCGCCAAGTACCGTCTCACGGTCGGCTTTGCTCTCGGCTATTATCTCCTGGGTGCAGTCATCCTTGACGCCGTGTCGCAGCCACTCTGGACCCTTGTCACAAAAGCAACTCCTCAGCCTGTCACCTCACTTGCCAGTCTTCGCCAGGTAACCCTCAATGATGCCAAGGCTCGACGGAGCCTTTACTGGAAGAACCTCATGAAATTCTTCTTTTTGCACATTTGGGGTGCAGCCATCACGATGGCGGTTATGTGGACGTTTGAGGGATCCATGAGCTCCACCATCATGTACTTGTGCTATGTTGGCTGCTATACTGGGTTGCTCTGGTATCAGTACAACCGGATCTTCACAGGGCCTCATGTCGCTGGTGGCCTCGCTGTTGGTTCCATTGCCGGATTGGTCGTAGGGATTATCCTTCACGAAGTACTTCCTTCCTTCCAGTGGAGCAGCGTTATTGGCCTTGCCACTGGTACCTGGGGAACTGCGATCTATACTATTTTCAAGGCTGATATCGGGCTGCCATCCTTTAAGGGATCAGACAACCAAACCCCGCGCTTTGGGGCAAGAGATAAATCTGTGTCCTACGGTGTCAGCACACTCCAGCCACACCCTGATCTCTCTCAGACTACCATGTCCCAAATGTTCGAAAACGTCCTTATGCTGTCTGAAGAGTTCCGCTACAAACTAGATCCTGCGCAGCATCCTGGTGTTGAAGTTATGCAGATTTTGGGATCTGATCGCCATCTTCATAAACCAGAGATTGTCCAGGCCGCTTTCCATGACGCAAAAGACCTGCTTCGACGCGTTGCAGAACTCTGGCAAGCCGGGGACATATCTGTTGAACTAGTTTCTGCCGCACACCTCATTCAACCGGAACAGAAAATTCGTGCCATCAGCCGACGGACAGGAGATCACGTTCACGTTTTCATTGTTATCGGTCCTGATCTCGTGGGATACGACTGGACATCAGACATTCGCCGCAACTGTCAGGCAATCGCGGAAGCGGTCGTCCAAGCCACTGCAGAGTTCAAACTGGGCCTTTCCCATGACCACGCTCTGATGGCAGAGCTTCTGATTGTGAGCGACCGGCAGGGCGAGGATATAGCCTTGCCCGAGGGCATCAAGCGTCAGCTGGAAGGCAGCTCGAAAGAGCGCGCTAGAGTCCTCAACCACGGACAGCAAGTATTGTTGCGTCACATTCTTCTCGGAATGGACTGCGATCAGGAATGGGACCTTCTTCCTAAAGCTGCGAGAAAGCTGCTCCTCCGTCGAACCTGCGGACAACCATGCCGCGTCAGCCCTGAACAGACTGCCTGGCTAGTCTCCAGAGCAAATGACACGCTTTATCTGGAAGAGTTCATTGCTAGATGGAACCTGGGATTTAAGCTAACAGCTAGCGTGATGTCGTTTGCTGCAGCCCAGGAGTCCCATCGCCAAACTCATGATCAGCCGGAATTCATGAACACGAAGTACGACAAGCCCATTCGTGATTTGCTCGCACTCAACGAACACACACCCAGCATCGGTTTCGCCGAAGCGCTTCGCCTTTCGTTTGCTCGGATCGTGCACATTTGGAATGCGTGCCTCAAGTTCCTTGTCATCTCCTTGGTAGCGGATCCAGAATATCAAAGAGAGTTAGACTCAATGCTTCGTGGACAGCCCTTGGTGTTTGCCTGGCCAATCAACCTTATCTTGAACGGTGTCTGGGTGACTTGCAAATCCCTACAACGTCTCATAATCCCTTTGGTCTTGTTACATGGACGGGAGAAGGTCTCCACTCTATACAGGAACATGAAGGATTGGAAGACAGTGGTCCATCAGGACCGGGTTGTCGTAGAGAGTCTGAGTGGTATCTCGACCGGTTTCTTCCGACACGAAGCAGATGGCACAGTCCAGCTCTACCAATACTCAGGACGTCATGAGCACGAGCCAAGCGATTACAAACAACTCATGGCCATCAACACATACACCGACAAACTTGTGCTCTCACGACGCCAGGAGTACCGTGGTGATACTCTGCTCAATGAGTTCACCTATGAGTATCCACAAGACAATCGTATCGGGCGGCCAAAGTTGCCCACGCAGCGACAATGTACCAAGGGCGAGCTGAGCGGCCAGATAGTCCATTATGACAAGCGCGGTTATATGACCTCAGGATCAGCCATGCGTGGTGTGAATCGCCTGGAATTCAACTTTTGGTACCGCAAAGGCGCCAAGTTTGAAGACGAGCTGCTGCGCGCCGACTATACTCTGCCACATATCGGGATCCAGGTGGCCTGGTGTATGCCTCCTCCAAACCGACCGGAGAGGCAGGACAAATGGATCCCTTATCCTCGGGTCACTGATGCGACCTTCATCCAAGGAGATGATAGCCACAAGGCCAAGTGGACCTACGACCATAAATTCCACCCGATCATCGCAACAACGTTGAACGGTGAAGCTGTGACCACCCCTGCGATGATCCATGAGGACTGGTTCAAGGTATTGCAAAAGCCCACCAAGTGCAGCTTCTTGGATGACAATCCACTCTTCTCCTTTTCTTCTACTAAGGTGAACTTCGTATCGCGCTTGCTGGGCTGGAATGTCAAACGATATCCGATCCCCACCTCGCGTGCCCGTACTCACCTCTGGAAGTCATGGAAGGGCAGCAAGGAGTTCGATGCAATCACAGCGCGATGGCTGGACGAGACCATGCTACGGTCTGACCGTGTGCTCAAGCCATACTGGAGAAGACGCAACCTGGGTCAGCTGGAAGCTGCGGCAGATTACCTCGATGCTCAAGCTGATACAGTTCTCGCTCGGGTGGACATTGACCCCGAAGTCAGCTCCTGGACACCGTTAGCTTTTAAGATCAGTGACCTCTCGAGCTTCGGGCAAGGTGGTGATTCACGCATCAACACTCGCACGCTCTCGACCCAGCTACAGGACAGCGACACCGAGCTACACGTCCTCGCTATGGATACCGGCACTTGGCCCAATGAGCCCGGTGGTGTGTCGGCTTGTCGACGCGATATGGTCAACGATCTCAAGGGTATCCGCTGGCACATTGTAGCTGAAGCAGCGAACGACTATGGTGTACCCCGATTCCAGATCGAAAGAAACGTCCAGTCGCTGGCCGTGCTGCCCCAGTGGGGCTTGGACTTCATGAATCCCACCCATGGCATGTTTCAGAACACACTCGACTCGGAGGTGGTGCAAAAGTCTTACGATACGAGGGTTGCGGATATCGAACGCAACTTCCTACCAATCCTAACCAGCCTCGTTCGTTGTGCGCGATCCATGAACAAAACCCGGGCGCTTATCGAGGAAGCCACCAAGGCTTTGGTAGATCTCAACACATATTTCGAATCGACTCGGAACTGGAATGACGTCTGGATGAGTGACACAGTGAAGCACGCCTGGCGGGAATTGTGGCTGACCGAGGACATGGAAGACACAATCCCTGTGTCAGAATGGTGGAACTGCGAGTACCCGACCCTGCAGCAACTGGATACGGCTTTGGATATGTGGCATCGCTGTGAGTTATCCCCCTGTCCGACCACTATGACCACGCTGACGTTGAATACTAGACCTTTTCATTTTCTCCATCCCCGTTCCCGAACGGATTCCCGACGTTTTCCAGGTGTCGCATCATTTCACGGGCGCCACGTACGGCGTGATGTGTAAAGTCAAACGCAAATGTGCCCTCCACGTGTGGGATCATTGTGTCAGCTTCCGAGAAATGACTACCTTCCTGTCGGCCGCTGTTTCCTTCGACTCGACGTTCGTAAACTCGTCACTCATATCCTTGGGTCACCTCGCTTGTATCCTCATCGAACACCATGCGGATGTTGTGCTGCCCTGCGCCGAGTATTTTAATCCTGGCTGGGAAATCGAACTGGGCACGTGTGAAGGTGTTTTAGAACATCGTCGGGCCTTCCAGCGCAAGATTGATCCGGTGGTGAACGGAATCACGAACATGGAGAGGTATAAGCCCATTGAGAAGATCAAGACCGAAACACCGACGGTAGTGATGTTGTCGCATATTCGGTATGTATCTGCTTTCCTAATTTTCGCTTGTGAAACTGTGGACTAACCCATATAATAGTTATGTCAAAGACATCAAGACAGCCATCATGGCTACAGACCTGATCGTCAATCAGTGGGGCTTCAAAGACTACCGCCTCCACATTTATGGCGATATGGAACGCGCTCCTGGATACGCGTCGGAATGTCAGGAGATCATTGCCTCCAAGTCGCTTCGAGATCACGTTGTTCTTAAGGGATTGGGTAACCCATCTGTTGTGCTTCAAGACGGGGTAAGTCATTCCACGTTACCATGTAGCACAGTTTTCGATCAATGCTAACCTTAATTATAGTGGCTTTTCATGAATTCATCCACTTCCGAGGGTCTTCCCTTGGCGATGGGAGAGGCTGCACTAACGGGTGTTCCTGTGGTATGCACAGATGTCGGTGCTTCATTCTGTGTTGTCATGAACCGCGACACGGGCAAGAAGTTCAGTGAAGTCGTTCCCCCGAACGACGCCTTTTCCCTTGCATCGGCCCAGATACGGGTCATGGCACTTCTCGGAGAGTGGAGCAAGTTTGCGGGTGATGAGGAGGGCTACGTGCCCCCATCTCTGGGCTTGCGTCCATCTCCGGAAGAGGTGCAACAGATCTCCCAGCGTATGTACGAGAAGGTGGAACAACGACGCCAGTTTGGTATGCAAGGTCGGGCGAACGTGCTCAAGAGCTTTTCCAGTCACCGGTATCTCCGCGAGCACGAGCAGATGCTTTGGCTGGGCAAGTACCAGAGTGAGAGCTACGTAGCCCGTTCCTCCTTGTCCTCCAGCGGGTCCAGCGGGTTCTTCAAAGAGCGGGTCACGGTCGAGCAGATCAACGAGCCTTTATTACCTCCTACTCCTCGGTGGCCAGGTGCCCGGCGGGAGTCGCGCCGTGGCTACTTTGGGTACAGCTCATCCAGTACCCAGTCTCTTTGTTGATGAAAATGACATTTGAATGAGGGCGCATTTGGAGAAAGGAGGTATCGAGTGAGTGAGGTCAGGAGTTGTACATAATCCCTTTTCCTGTCATCCACTAGTACTTAGTCTTAATCAGCATAATGTTAATAGACCATTTGGTACATAATCCTGAACTGGAGATTGGTAAATGAGGCATTGAGTGCGCGGAAGAGACTGGTTACCTGGCAGGGGGAAATGGTTCATCTGATTGTAGATCGTAGTGCTCAATGGGAGGACCATGAGAAGAGTGAAGGAAAGGATGAGGATAGAAAAGAGAAGGAATGACCCGCGTGTATCTTCATTCACGCCCGATCAGGTGATACGCAGTGTAAAGGAAATTGGCCTTGTTTCTCAGGTCATATCTCCCAGATCTACAGCGAAACAAACACCGCCAGAGAACTCCGGAAGTTATCCCAGTAATAAAATCTTATTTGCGCGTTGAACGCCTACATTATTCATATTTCACAAAATACTACTTAATACTCATCTTACTGAACGGGCCCAGGGAGAAGCACAGATACTCAAGATACAGAGAACGCCTTAAATTCCAATTCATGCTTCTACTGAATAATTCATCCCCAAATACCAATGTAAGAATAAGTGGATATGATCAACAATTGACAGCTGAAGACCATTGTGTACTTGGTCAACGCTAGTATACAATCCTGAACATCCGAAGATAACCGGTATGCGCCTGTCTCAATTCCTGCAAGTTCCCAGTCAGTGAATTTCAAACTAGCATAATCGAACTCACACAAAATCCAGAAAGAAGACAAGGAGCATAAGGCTTGAAGAGTAACATACAGAAGCTGGAGCGTAAGATCTCCATGGATCTTAGCCTTGAGCTGTACCTCAACGTCCAAATTCAAGTCTAGACGCAGGCGAAGCTGTTCATCCTTCTTCTTCTCAGTTTGCTGTTGCCCCTGCTGCTGAAGTTGAGTGTCATTTCTACCTCCCATAATGCTTCGCCCAAGGGCCTTTCCCGCCGTGTTGCCGAGCGTACCGACAGCTCTGCCAGCGGTGTTCTGAGCCAAGTCGCCAACGCCTTGGGTGAGGTTCCCCGGTACGTCCCCGACATTCCCCAAGGCGGGCAATGCCAGCGCCTGTTGCTGCTCACGTTGCTGGCGTCTCATATCTCCTCGCTGGCCGCGTCGACGGGCCTGTCGATAATATACGTCTGCACTGGCAGGGGACGATGATGAGGGAGAGGATATTTGCTCTGTCACTGATACAACGGATCGCTGGCGTTGCAGTGGCTGCTGCTGTTGCAGTTGTGGCTGCAGCTCTCCTTCGCTCCAAGATACCGATTGAGTCTCCCGGTCGAGTTGTGTTTCTTCCGTATCTGGAGACGGATCCATAGTTTCAGTTGCTTCCGGAGCCTCTGCTGCTGCCGCTTCACCCGCGTCATCTGCTTCTGCTGGCGGTTTTGCAGATTCTGGGGGAGGATCCAACGGTTTTGATGCTTCCGGTGGACCACCTCGTCGCTGGAGCTTTCGAGGCTTTCGCACCCGATCAGGGTTTGAAGTAGAAGGCACGTTCTTTTGTGCGTCGATGGTTGGACTCTGTTCTACAGCGTTTGCCATTGGCCAAGTAATGGACTGTAGATACGCTCGGTAGATTGTGTTGGTGGTGCGATGGGTTAATTGATGGATTATATAGAATAAACAGTAGTTACTTTCCATACAAAATTGAGGATCCGAATGGCGAAAGACAATATCGTTCTGTTAGGCGTGAGGCGAATGTGAACTGATGTCATGGTCCAATCCCAAGGCGCCGGCGATACGATGCCATCCGGGGTTCCCCCTTCTTGAGTTCCAGGGTTCCGGATGTCCCCTAGAGTGGACGCGCATTCGAATTCCCCTTCATTTATCGGGTCAACCCGTGATGATGAAATTATTGAATCCATCTCATAGGCCTTAGCAAATGATTGTTTGGTAGCCATGACCCACTGTGCGGTCATCGGTGTCGCGCTGCGACTGTACCTTCTGGACTCGGCGCGTACATTCTTTGCGAAGTTCGCCTCCGCAATCGTTCTATACATTAACATGTACTCCTTCTTTGCTTTCTCTTGCGATCATTATTTACCATAGTACCCTTTCATTGCGACGAACTTGATACCCTCAACGACGACTGCAAGAAACACCATTCCCAGTGATCAATAGAAAGAACGGCGAAGAACCAGCGACCCCCAAATCACTATGGCCCAACCCGCAGATCCGCAGCCAGCACCAGCTCTACCAGTTAGAACGCAGGAGCGCCAACGAACTCGGCGAAAGAGAGGAAATGCGCTCGATGATCGTGTTCCTCCAAATACTTCAACTGCATTACAACCATTGCGACGCCAAGAATCGCGTTCAACCTCTCCCGCCACTGATGCAGAATCCGTCGTGACAAGGGAACAAGCCAGGCAAAGAGCACGGGGTGACCTAGCGAAGAGAGATCCGGCTGGGCAGGAGATGACCCAGCCGTCGGAGGAAGAAGATACTGGGCTTAAGTTACGGCTGGAGTTGAATCTGGATGTTGAAGTCGAATTGAAGGCGAAGATTCATGGTGATCTTACGCTAGCATTGCTGTGAGTTTCCTTATTTTCTGAGTTCTTCAGCACTTTACCCTCAGAGTTTGCATGTATGCGGAGTACTAATTCCGTGCAGGTCCTAGGCAATGAAGCAGGCTGTTTTAGATGATATAATTATGAAGGTTAATCCTTTGATATTACACATATCTCACCGAGTCTACGGTTCACAGCATGTATATGGCAGCGTCATAGCATTTACCTTGAGAGAGCACCATTCGTTCAAGTTACGAAAGTCATATGGTAGATTCAACTAGCGCCCACTCAGTAGACGATGAAGAGATCGATTATCAATAATAACCATACTTTAAAGATTAACCCGATGTGGGGGGGAGGTACTAATCCATGGACAGTCCGCATCGACGACCAGAGCCCTCGGGTCTCAGATCGCAGCTGCCTGCTGCCCACATCCATGCACGTCCTGGTTGATAGCTCGTACATTACAGAATATCATTTCTGTGGTAACAGCGGCAAGGTTTTTTCAGCTGAACTCTGCTCAGCTAACTAGACCATATTTCTCTGATTCACACCGTGGCACTGGAATTGCATGTTCGCTGCCCATCGCGGGGAGTAGTCGGGCCGCTGAACCGAGCCCTAGCGCGCAATATAACTGAACTTGGATCCTCGGTATCATACATGGTCACCGTCGATGTAAACCGTGATAATCTAGAAGTTATGTCGATCCAGTGGCTTCCATCCGTACACAGCCTGGACTTGTAATACATGGAAATCATGACGAAGGTACTTTGTTCCTATTCGCTATGCGGCCCCCGCCGATGGTAAACGTAAGTATATACGCAAAGTCGGAGTCAGTTGTTCAATAAATGCGGGGAAGGTTTGGTATCCCTAACTCCGAAGATGGTCAGGCAGTCGTAGCCGATTTGTTTCCTCACTATCCCATGGTTTCTAAAGCGCCACTCACCCACATATCCACAATGTGGAGGGCGACATGGCTTCTAGCAGGCCTTTCACGGTTGCCGTCTCGTATTTCTCGGTACCTGGTGATCAGATCGGAATGACGTCTGAGTGATCGTGCTGATGTGAATCTGATCGATCATTACAAACCGATCGACGATCAGTCGATGGAGCTATGTGATATATAGTTACTGGAGAAGCTTTGAGGTTCTGTAGTGAAGTTGATTAGCACAATCTCTGACTACTGTTGCCTCTGGCATATTGTCTACCTTTTTCCAATCAGACAGATCACAGACGCCAAGGGAAAGTTCTAGAATCCATTTCTGTACGGAATTGGCGCAGCCACCGACGCAAATCAAGCAATGGCGGCTACCCAAGAGGATGCAAGGCAGGTGGAGTCGCTGGGGAAAGGAGATACTCTCAAGAAACCGTCTGCTATACGCAAGAAGGCGCCTCCGAAGCTTGCCAAACTAGATAAGAAGGAGAAGGTGGATAAGCCTACCTTAGGTTTGTTGGCCAAACGGGGACTAAATTTAGAAATCTATATCTAACGTTCGATAGATGAGAAACCAGAGAAAAAAATGGAGACTGAAAACGTGGGAGATGCTGGTGCTGGTAAAACGCCTGAAGCGGGGCTAGAAGACCAGGTAGGGAAGGTTGAGGACAAAGCAGGAGAGGCAAGAGAAGAAGCTGAAGAAGAACTGGAAAATGAGGACATGGAGAATGAGGAGGAGGTGGAGGAAGAGCTGGAGCAGCAACGTGGGCCTGTCGAACAAAGAGAAGCCATGCCATCAGACACTGCGGCAGGTTCTTCGTCCACCGCGGGGCTAGCGGACAAGGGCAAGGGAGCAGCCGTGCAACTGGGCCGGATCGAAGAAGGCACTGAATCCATGAAGGATCAGGTCCCCGCTGAAATGCCGGATCAAGTGCAAGAGAAGGCTGGAGAAGGCGTACAAGAGCCTACCGAAGGAGTGGTTGAGCCCGAGAAAGAAACTGATCTCGGAGATGGCATACCAGAACCACCAGATGTATCGGAAGTGAAGGAATCTGCAGTGAGCATTGGAGACCTGAAAGGCCTTTCTGTTGGTGAAGGCGGAAACATTGTCAATGCAGAGGGGAAAACAATCGGAAAGGTTGTTGAGGGGGATCCTGATGACCTTGTTGGTCAGGTTGTTGATGCCGATGGAGAGATCCTGGACGAGGACGGGGACTTGATCGGTCGGGTTGATGTCGTGACTGAGAAAGTCGATGAACTGCCACAGGCCGATGAACTTCCCAAAGCCGAAGAACTTCCCGAGGCCGAAGAAGTGGCAGAACTGCCGCAATTGCCGGATATATCGACTCTCGAAGGCCTAAAATGTACGAAGTTCGGCAGCATCTTGGATACTCAGGGTAACCTAGTTGGGGAGTTGGTTGAAGGCGATGCAAAAAGGATCTTTCGAGGAGGCTTTGAGCTTGACGATAAGGGCCAGTTCTGGGACCACCGCGGTAAAGTCATTGGCAAGGTACAGCCTGTTCTACCAGAGGCGGAAGAAACCAGCATCTTCGAAGGAATGAAAGATTTGTATGTTGACAAGGAGGGATGGGTGCTAGATGACAACGGTCAACGCGTTGGACAGGTAGTTGAAGGAGATGTTAAAAAGCTTGCAGGCCGCGCGGTTGACGAGGATGGCGACATTCTCGATCGGCATGGAAACCTGCTCGGTCACGCAGAACCCTGGCAGGAGCCAGAAGAAGTTGCGGACGAGGTAACGGAGGAGAAGCCGGATCTCAGTTGTCTGGCAGGGCTTAAGCCCACCAAGCTTGGCCTCGTGATTGGGCCGGACCAAGTGCCTCTGGGCAGAGTCGTTGAGGGCGATCCCAAACAACTTGCCGGCCGAACCATTGCGCCGGATGGTCTCATTTGGGGCGACAACGGGGAGGTCATTGGGCAGGTGGACCTGATCCCCGAGAATGAGCGAAAAGATCTCAGCCGGCCATTCCAGGGATGCACGGACCTGATGGTGAATGGATCTGGCTGGGTGGAGGATGGTGACGGGAACATCCTGGGTCGTGTGATCGAAGGGGATCCCCAGAAGCTCCAGGGATATGATGTCGATGAGGACGGAGAAATTGTGGACCAGCATGGGACTGTCTTGGGGCGAGCTGCACCATGTGAACCCCCTGCCGAGGAGGTGGAGGTACCCGATCTGTCTGCATTAGCTGGCAAAGTGGTAAACAAGATGGGCAATGTCGTGGATACGAATGGAATGGTATTTGGACGGTTGGTGACAGGTAACCCTCGAAAATTGGCGGGCAAATCCGTGGATGAGCAGGGTCAGGTCTGGGATGCTGCGGGCCACGTTGTCGGCCAAGCCGAACTCATTCCTGATGCCGAGCGAGAGCGGCCAGAGGGACCATTCAGCGGCCTAGATGGCTTGACGGTGAATAAAGAGGGTCAGGTTGTTGACCCGAACGGCACACCGGTTGGTCGTCTAGTCGAGGGAGACCCTAAACGCCTTGCTGGGCGCGCCGTGGACGATGATGGAGAGGTCCTTGACTCGGCTGGGAATTGCATTGGCCGGGCTGAGCCGTGGTCTGCTCCAGAGGAACTGCCCAGTCCCATGGCTGGCCGTAAGGTTAATCGGGAGGGAGAGGTCCGCGATGAAGATGGCAATCTCATTGGCAAGCTCACTCAGGGAGAACTGTCGAACCTCATCGGCCGAACGATTGACAAGGATGGCTATGTTGTGGACAGTGCCGGCAATAGGATCGGGGAATGTACCTTGCTGGAGAATATACCCCCAGAGCCAGAGCCCGAGGAACCGGAAATGTCCCCCGAAGAGCGCGAGCAGCTGGCTCGACAGGAAGAGGAGAATGAGCTGGCCAAAAAGATGTGCTCAATTGTTCAGCAAGCTCTGGACTCCTTGGAACCGATGTGTCGAATGATCACTCAGGTATTCACCCATCCACTTAATAAACATACTTCTAATAGGAACACTTTGCTGACGCTGATTCGAACAGCATATCGAAAAGGCCAATAGTACACCCAAGGATGAATTGGATGAAGAAGCACTGGTCAAGGAGGTAAAACCGTTGATCGAAGAGGCTGGCACCATTCTGCAGGAGTGCAAAGGAGCACTGCGAGCGTTGGATCCGGATGGCCACATTGCTGCCAACGCCAAAGCCCGCAGTGCCTCCCAAGAAGCCACTCCACAGGAGCATCATCTGGCGGAATTACTGAAGGACTTGACACAGCTAGTGACGGAGACGATCGAACGGGGTAAGAGTATGATTGCCGACATGCCGCATGCGAAGAAAGAGATCAACCCGCTCTGGGCGCTGTTGTCCGAGCCGTTGTTCCAGATCATCGCGGCCGTCGGTCTCTTGCTCAGTGGCGTTCTGGGTCTTGTGAGTAATCTTCTGAATGGTCTGGGTCTGGGAGGCCTTCTTCAAGGGTTGCTCGGTGGCTTGGGCGTGGACAAGCTCCTGGAGGGTCTGGGACTGGGGACCATCACGCAGGGGATCGGGCTGGGTGGAAAGAAATAGTGCTGTATATCTCTGAAATCTGAAATCTCGATATGTGTTCGATCGGGCGTTTCTGTGTCTCTTTAGTGACTGGTTTCATTGCTTTGGGAAGAGAGGAAAATGAGGTGGAAGTGGAGGGCAAAAGGATGCGGGAAGTCTGTTTTAGGGATGCCGAGCGGCCGTAGGAAGTGATTTCCGACGGTTGGCCCTGATATACGCAAGGGCCTCGTTAAGAGGTGTAATATCATCCAGTCTTTGATGTGATATTAACCGCCAGCACAAGATATGTATGTCACATGAAATGCATTTATCTCTCCTGACTGATAGAGCAGCGCGCCAACTAGTAGCAATGACATCAACTTACATGGCAGCCTTGTGGGAGTGGCTCAGCACTGCCCCTTCAGCTCAACAGCAAGACACTCGCTAGATGCACTAGGCAGTGAATGCAAGTCGAGATACCCCAACAGCCACCCAGAAACATTGTGTGATTCGAGTTTCTTTTCTGTTGGCTTCACTGGCTGACTGACTGACGTGGGCCAATGGTGTTGCTGAGCCAAACACAACCCTGGTTGAATCGCCGCAGCGACGCGCCCACAAGGCGCTTTCCTTCTCTTTCCCCTCCCATGGTCTCTCTTATTGCACAAGGCTGAGGCAGCTAGTAGGG